TATTTTCGCGGGAACGCAGGGTAACGCATTGGGCCGAGATAATCGCATTGGCCCCGGCATGGTTCAAGACAACATGCCGGAGCCCTCAACACCTCCATCGAGGTGGTGTGGGCTTGAAGAAGGTCCGATAGTGCTTACAGTAAAAACCCTGACGTCTCAGACAACTTTACACTTTGTGCTACATCCAGACACCTTTAACTCTACTTCGACTGAAATGGCATTGCAGGAGGAAATTTTCATCGCCGAATTAGGCATCCTAGATACTCCTTGTTTAAATCAGTATCCTCCAGTGTCGACCCATCCAGAACAGCCTATTTATCGCTTCCCACTGAATTTGTTTTGATGGTAGCAGTGGCAGAGAATGAGGCACGATTGTTTTTGAAAAAAAACTATTCATTACAATAATTGCGGTTGTGAAACCGAACCAATGTCTCATTCTGACACTCTACTTCCATACGATTCCTGTTCGAGAACAAAAAAGTAATCATCGATACATAAACTTTGTGTTCTGGACCCCAGGCATCTTCTGACATTCCGATTTAAAGCCAAAAGTTCTTGATTCACAAAAGATACTCCCAATTTCTCATCAATTTAGCCCTCATGTCCTGTTTCGTAATTACTTAAATACAATCTACTTTGTGGGATTGTCGGTACAAGAAGCCACGAAGAAGACCTTCGGTAGAAGTCGCAGACATAATCACATTGCTTGTATGAGAATACGTTCTATTCATGGAAGGTCTCTTACTCTAAATGGTAAAGGGACTCCTGTCTTGACGAGGCACTAAAATTGAGCGTTAAGCCGGCATTTACGCGGCGTGAGTTACCTAAGTTTTAACAGCTAGAATTGTTTTAAATTGTGCTACCTTGGTGCAGTGAGGTGAAACCGAACAGAAAGAGGACACTTTGGGGACCTTGACAAAAAACCACGAAGCCGCCATTAAAGGGGAGCGGTTGACTGAAGAGATGAAAACAGCAGCGTAGTGACGACCCGCGTTTTGGATCGGTGACGACCTTTAAGCAAAATTTACCAACCAATGGCAGCTGAGGTGGCAAGTGACATTGATTTTGCATGCACACACACACACACACCCCGACTTGCAACTGGTGTTTGTTTGCGACGATGGTGCGGCGAGAGGTCGCCAGAATGAGTCACTTGAAGTGGGTAGTCTGCTTCGCCTTCTTTTTTTACTTCAACATTTTATTTTAAAAGCAGCTACAAGAACCGAATAGCGGGTGCGGCTGGTGACCCAAATGACTCCTGGCTTTCGTGAAGGAGGGACTGACAACACCTTAGTGACTGAAGAAGGAAGAAGCGGGCAGTATGCAATTTTCTAATGTGCTTAAAATTAAGAACCACCTTCAAGTAGGTCAACAAAAGTGCGCCAACATCGAAAGTCTCTTCATAAGTCGTGTCCTCCTGCGTTTGTTTTACGCAGTTACCGTGAACTTCAAAGCTAAATTAGGTGTGATGCGCAATTGGACTACTAAATTTCTCACTCACTTCAGTTGCACATTGATGACAGATTGGAGTTTTATTATTACCCAGTATACAACTGCCAAATTAAATATGCTGATTGGGTTCGTTCTTCATTTTACAAAGTACAGTGAATAGTAGATGGCGGTTAGGGATGAGGGACGTCATGAAAAATAGCAAAAAAGGGGTTTTCTTGTCCACAAACACGATAGTTTTTTCTCATTTCTCGGAATTGAGCCCAATCGTTCACAAAATTTCCAAGTTTATTCAGACCTCGAATTGTATTTAATTTTGAAAATGCTAAACCCGATGACTTAAACCTTCAAAATGACATATTCAGAGTTGATGTATTAAACACAAGGGCTCTTGAACTCAACAAAGCTTGCTAGGACAACACCAAACGCGTTTAGACAGTTCAGTTAGTCTGCAGGGATGGCAATGAAAGTTAAATTTAAATTTTACTGAGAAGATTTGTTTGCATGTGGATATAGACGTGTCCTCGGTCTCTGTTTGGAAGTGTGTCAGCCTGTCTGTGCCTATAGCAAACCAATCCGAAGTGTCGAATGAAAAACTGAGGTTCAAATCTCAGATGCGTCAAAATTAGTAGAGTTCAAATTTGACACCCAACAACCAGACACATAAACATTGTTGACACATAGTTAAACTGGAAAGTCGGCACTTTTAGCTACTCAAACTGGCGACACCATCGACATCAATGCGCCTCGAAAATCTTTTTCAAGCAGAATGAAACTAAGTCAAATGGATTTTTCGTACATATCTAAAAATGTACTAGAATAATATGTCTGCATGCATTACCGATACAATTTTCAGTCTTGTGGGGTAATTGATAGGTTTAACTCTAGCAAGATTTCAGAGACTTCAATAAGGCCCCGATTTTGTCCAGTTTCGTCTCCGTGAAAAACAAATATCAAAATTCTAAACAGTATGTGGCCTGGGGGTAAGCGTGTGGTAGCTGCTGTGTAGGCTACCATTCCAGACTATTTCCGTAAATCCGATTATAATGTTCAATGTGGTTATAAGTGAGCAACACAAGGCGTTGCCAACAATCAACGTCAGCACCAACGGCTCCCTTCGAATCTAATTGGATGGAAAGTACCAATGTGGTGCTCAGTGTCCAATAAGAGGCCAAACCGATTATTGGGAGGCCTTGAAGTGTTGCGTGTGGAGAAGAGGTGACGGTTTAATTGTGGCAGCACCCTTGCAAGCGAAGAAAGTTAGTTCACGATATACTGTACCCCAAACAAAATAAACTGCATTAGTGTGGGAGTACCACGAACTAACTGATTGCCGTCTTAAAAAGAATTGCCGATACTTCAACAACACTAACACATGCCTTTCACCAAAGGAATGCCAAAAATTTACCTTGGCCGACTGCAAATTCTCACGAGTGAAGAACCGAACCAAGAATCTGGAATTCGCCGCATGTCGTGAGCCCCATTCCATCGACTGGAAGTGTAGCGGTTGACGGATTTGATAACTACTCTCAGAAAATGTTCTTTATTCCCATTGGATGTTACTTGATACGCCACAATTACAGACTGCTATTAGATCAGGCATAAATTTCCACAATAAAATAGCAGTGAAGCCACTTTTAAAACTCTTTCTGAATTCAGAAGGTGAGGCAAACAGATGGAATAGTTGTAGCAACCGAAACAGCAAAGGCTTACCACAAAGTTTTCTCTGTTCGTAGAGACTGCGGGGATCGTGACGACAAAAGGCGGGGTTAGCCGGGTAGAGCGTCATGTCAGGACGACCGTGGTTAAGACTGACTTGGGTCACAATCCTAGGGCTATCTTCGCAAGTCATTCCGCACATCTCCAGTGTGTACGACTGCGGCCACAGAAGACGCTTCGGCTGAGGCTCGGCTAACGAGTAGTACACTGACTGGGGTAGTCCTAACGTGAAATTTAAAATAGGTGAAAATTATTGTGAAAACCCGAACAGGCCGGGCCTTCTCATGTGAACGCTGCAGATAAGACGTGGCTGTGATAATTTACAAGGCCACCTGTAAACCTAACGGCACTCAAAAAACCTCTGATTTTATTTGAAAATATCACACAAACTAGGGATAAATTCACGACAGTAAGTGCCCGCACCCAAATGACTAGATTTGATAATGCGAAGCATGTATCGGTGACTTTTGACTTGCATTCTTAACCACCCCAGCTATGTACTTTTACGAGCGGTTTAACGCCGCGATAGCATGCTCGTTTACTAGTTTGAGAAGTCTTGCTCACACGTAGTCGTGTTTTGCTGAGAAGCACACACATGGAGCGTTAAGGCAAGCAACAATCAAATCAGGTGAGGTCTTCGACCTAGTAGCGGACAAGAACGTCAGTGACACGGGGACTGTCTGTCATCTTGCTGTTCTAACAACAAGGAATTGTAGACCTACCCTTCCATCTGGGTTCGCAGGAGTTTTCGATAACCTTGATATTCACCACCGCAGTAACGGTCTCCACCCGCAAGACTCCACAGTCCCTGTACTGCACGCGAAAAATGTAAATTTTTGGTGAATCCTTGGTGAGAACTTCCCGAGTTCGAATGACGCCTAGTAAAGAGAGCGGAGTTAAATAACCCTTGAGTCGCATTTGGGTGATGTCAAATGACATTTTTACTCTCGGTTAGAGCGGCTAAATAACGTCTTAGAGGTATGTTTTAAGATGACTAAATGTGGATAGTTAAATGACCCCCCCATGGATTGCCAGAATCCTATGCATTAAAAAAATATTTTTAAGAAAAGACAACCAGAACCGCTATCACATTACATACCATGATTTAGCAAAAATACCCGTAACAACGGAACAAATTATGATCGAAAGTAATGAGCAAATTAGTGCAACTAAACACCGCTAATCCTACGCTTTTTTGCAAAATTGACTCAGTGAAAAAAAAAAACATTGACTACCGTAGACACTAAAGCAAGCACAAGAGATCGCTGATGTCGTTAGGCGTTACCTGTCAACTTTTATTTAACTTTCGTTACACCTGGCGTGACACCGTATCGTCGTTTTTTGTTAAATTTTCTGACAGGTGTGCAATAGAGAGGTGCAGCCTGTGGGATGTCATTAAACCTAAACGACTGTTTCACGCGATTGGAAGAGTTGATTTTTAAAAAAAAGTTGCTATATTTAAAATATTAATAAGTCCATCGGTGCTATTTTTTAAACTGGAAGGAAGCGCGGAACTTCTAAAATGTACAGAAAATGTAAAATTATGCAAGCCTTAAGGACTGCACTTGCGAATCTCGGCAAAGGTTTATCAAATGGACATCAAATAACAGCAGTGGAAAGGTCAGGTTCACAAGTAAGTTGGCATTTGTTTTGCATTCCTATCAGAGTGGCGAATGGTTGTCGAGAAAAATATTTATAATAATGGGGATATTTTCAACACAAAAAAGACACGCCTGAGTCGCAATTTCTAGGAGAGAGCATGGAAAATGCGGGGTTTACAACAGGTTTGCACAATGCCACTATTTCAGTTCTATAGAAGCATCCTTCTTGTGCAGGAAGATAGTTTCAAATAGGGTGAGTTGTGTGGGGGGTGACCGTCTAATGTGGACAACTAGGAACTCAACGAGGTCATGTTTTGGCTGACGAGGTTATAGAAGGATCGAGGGAAAACTGCCAAGTCTAACTGATGAGTAACGTGAGGTGATTTACGTAAGATCTTTAGGCTACGAGCAATGTAGAGTCGTGGGTTACATGGTTAGTCAACTTTTTTTCAGTCGCATGCTGATTGGTCAGCTTTGATTCCCTCTTAAAGTGCTTCCTGTATCACAGAATCTATTTTACTTGCATTAGCAGTTAATAAATACAAGATTTCTTCAGTAGATGGTCAACACACACGGCAGATTGAGACAAACGGGAGATTCATGCTAAGTTTACAAGTTTCCCACTGTGGCTCAGGTTTGCTGTCAGACTCGAGCAGCTAAATGCTCCGTCACCTTCCGAAAATCCAGTAACGACACTGATGAAAATAACCACATTCGTTTTAAGGATAAAACTAGAACAAGAATTACTCGCGCTATTTACACTGTGGTTAAAAACGGTACCCTCACATTCTCAACCAACCTAAGGCAATTTAAGTACAAGTTAGTTTAGGGCTCAAATATTTACTGAACCGGTGAATTGTGATGAATCACGTTAGTCACAACGAGGGCTGAAAGATTAAAGCCAAACAGGCTTCCTCAAAGCCCTAATTCACAAGATCTGGACATTTTTGAAAAAAACAGGTTTAAGCTGTCTAAGATTGCATGAATTTAAGTTGTTCCTATGTACGGACAACAAAGGGCACGGTGTGCAGTGGCCTGGAAGACACTGTTCACGAAAGATGGTGGGATTTGACTAATAATGTAAATGAAGGGAGTCATAATAATGCCGTGTATGGGGACAAATGGTATTCTACCACAACGGAGAATAAATATTTTGTTTAGCGTCGATGATTTTAGGGAAAAATCGCTATTCAATTAGTTTTAATGTTGAGCGACTGAGGTAAGCCACTATGCAGAGTAAGCTTAATGGGGTTGCATCAACGCAGCAATATGGCGTCGACAACAAACTCAACAGTTGCATATCAACACATTTTAAAATTTTGATGTCACATGAAACATGTAGAACTTATTATGCTTATCTAATCAGGCAAACAATAAATATATAGCGGAACCTTCGCACCACAATGACCTTTGTAGAAGAATTAATCTACACTTGTAGAGATGATTGACAGGGAGGTGCGCTCACCATGAGAGTCCACAGTGAAGGGAACCATATCTCCTGCCAACAGGGAGTATCCACACTGATTGTTGCCATCGATTTGGTGATTGAAAGACTCATGCATCACAGTGACCTTTCCACAAATGGCTCCCACACTGCTATACGTCACCACGGAGAAATTGTATTCCGGCTCAGCAAAACGCAACTGCTCTTCTGCGCGGATATTCACTTGAACCAGAACCCTATAAAGTACCAGGGGGCGACATCACATATACGAAATTACGCACAATTGTCTCTATGCGTCAGAGACATTTGGAAGGATGCAGTGCATAGAGTAAAGTCCACGTGGAGGTAGGAACTTCCACACATGTAACTAGCGTGCGTGGACCCTGTGAATATCACTAAAATGGACCTGTGAATGGTACGAAGTCCTGCATTAGACATGTTTGGTTGCATTTAGTAATCATGAACTACATATGATTAGGAAAAGAAGGTCAGCAAGTGACACCCAAAGGGGGGTTGGATTTAACCTTCAAACAGACATTTTCTTTAGACTATCAGTTGAAAATGATAGGTCCCACATAAATCGGAACTTATTAACAAATGGTGTTACACGACCCATCTGATATACCATGGTAGAGGATGCGTAAAAGCGCTTACCGACTAGAGCTTCTAAGTCTTAAAAGGGCACCGGCGACTTAAGAATTTGGGAAAATTAGCTTTGATACGACATAAGCTTAACTGACATTTATATTTACAAAGTCAAAAGACTTAAAATACTGCAGTGTAAGTTGCATAAGGTTGAAAGAAATCTTTCAAAAATATTAATGTCCTGCCTGGAATAATCTGTTTTGCTTCATAATATTACAGAATCCTGGATATTTTGTTTTAAGTTTATACCATGCTAACAAATGTGGGGTGTATGAAAGCATCGTGATTAACTTCACAGATTGCATTAATATTTTTGGGGTCAGACCTTCATGCCCAAGCAGTGATTTTAACACACGAATAATTGAAACGAGGACCAATGATCTTACTAACAGGCCAGTGACCGCTTATGTACAAAAGAGTGTATCAACGTTAATTTACCCTGTCCCCCGCATTTCAAAGCATTTATATTTAGTACGAATCGGTCATCTCGCAGGATTTCCGGTTAAAGAGTGTCGTCAAATACGTTGCCCATTTTAAGATGAAACGTAGGAATTAGTCACTGAACAGAATTTGTTGGATTTTAGATTTACGTTTAATTAATAAATGCACTCGTAAATAAACTCTATTGATTCAGATAGGATTGGGATCCCTGCGAAATAATAAGATTTTGAGTAAAATTGCTATTTGAAAAGTAAAGGCACATCGTTGTCAAATTAATTCTACGAATTCCTTAAAAGTAACATACAGAGAATGCGCAAGAAAAAAAGAGAATGCATTTAACGTTAGCCCAAAGTCAGAAAAAGGCCCAAGAAAATAAATTTTTCGGCGACCAAAAACGTCATATAAAGTGTACAAATAACGGGGGCGTGACATAAGAATCGTGTGATTTCTGACTAAAGTAAAAGCATCTCAGTTTTCCAGAGCGCTTCTAACAGAATTTTAATTAGTGGATGGAACAGAGAATGAACTATACCAAATTCTACTAATTCAGCATGGTCTAAAAGAATAATGAATCGGATTTGTAAAACTACTTTTGGACTGCAGTTGGTATAGTCAATATACAAGCGTTTATGTCTAGAAATTATAGTAATCTTTAATACCATGGAAAAAACTCAAATGGATAAATAAAATATAAGGATACCTCTCAGAGTAATTTGGTGGACTGTCGCAGTCATATGCTTCAATCTGAAACGTATACATTTTGCCTTGAGTAAAATCCACTGGAACGTCATTGCGAACACGGATCTCCCCAGTTCCGAGGTTTGAATCTTTTAGATCCACCTCAAAAGGAAACCGAAGGTCGTCTTTAACAATAGGGTGAAATCCGCAAATTCTGTTTGTTCGACTAGCAAATTTGTTTGTGAATGCTCGAAGCTTTGGAGATAATTTCACCAAGGACTCGTGTTTAAATAGATTGCCGATATATGCGTTTACAGATTCTTCCGGCAGATCAAACTTCACAGCAGGTCCATTGCATAATCCTAAGCAATTTATATAAGCAACTAGTGTATCTTACCATAACCAACTAACAAACATATACAGAGAAGAAATATAGTTTTCGACATTTTGATTACGAAAAGAAGTTGCGCAATCAAATCCCGCTGCTCCAAAACAACCTTAAAGAAGTTCAATGTCACTGTGATAAATTAAAACATGCTTTGACAACATGTCTTAATAAAAATTAATGACCAAAGAAAAGTCAATCAGTCAACATTTAATAACACTTCGTAATTTTTTACTTTGGCACAGGCATGTTATTTTTTTTCGCTCCATAGGTGATTAGTAAAAAATAACTGGGCAATGAGAATTTATGATTAAAGGTGATCCTAAACGTAATTCTTTTATGTCATTTGGCTATATTTGTAAGCTTTTTATAATTAAATATGAAACAGATGCATAAATCTAAAATATGTGAGCTGCCTGCCTCAGATTTTACGTAGTTCTAGTAGTATTCATGGACGCTATCCTCCCGGAACAAATCCAATGATGCAACGTTGTTTTCATTGCTCCAGTTGCAAATTGTCGAATAAAATTGGTGCATATAGTTATACAGGCATTGCCAATTATTAAGTTCAGCCATATTATAGTTGTTTGGTTCGAGTGCGTTCGGTGAGCTAAAGCCTCGCCACATTATTTTCGAGTTACATGAGAAATTCACCATCAACGACACTGTTTTCCATGAAAAATTCCCTTCAGCGAAATTGTATATTGCCTAGTAAAACGATATAAAATATCTTTTTTGGAGCATAAGGGCTTTTTTTCCAAATTGGATTCATTGCACTAATGCGATTAATATTTTTTAACACAAAATAATGACGCTTCCAGCAACAGTTGAGGATAAGTTGAGGAGATGTGCCGTAGCAGGCTACCTAATACTATGATGGGGGCCCTAGCATTTGGTCTTGAATCACATCAGAGCTACTAAATTAACTCTGGCCCTATTACGCTTCCATTATACCCGCAATGCAGAAAAGACCGGAGAGGGCGTGGACACAACCCTTTACTTCAGAGCTAAACCATGTTGATGTCGTTGTGTCGTGTGTTGCGTATTTACACTTCAGATGTTTGAGTCATACACGCGCTAACATCGTGATCTAGGTGTGAGGATAATCCAGGATAATCGTTCGTGCTAATAAGGATATAGTTGAGGAACTACGTGCTGCGAAAAGGGGACCCTGTGTTGGAGGCTGGAGTGATCGGATTAACTAGTGCGAATCAACGCAATTCACAACAACTTTAAGTAATTTTAGTCTCGAGTATGAACTGATTGACACTATGTGAAGGGATAAGCAACGCCAAAGGCTGAAACCAAGACATGAACAAAATAGGTGCACATTATAAGGGGATATCTGCGTAACTACATGATATGAGGAAATATAATGTCATTTTTATTTCATATTAAAAGGCTTAAGCTTAAGTAAGCATATGTTTCTTTGATTCTGTGCAAAAATTAATTGTTTCATTAAGTTATGCAACTTAAGTAAATATCTATTGAGTACTAGGGGCGAAATTTCAAAAGTGTCTGAGAAATATAATAAACAAATGTTACACCACGTCCATAGCGTGTGTGCTAAATTGCTCAGTAGCCTTATCAGCTTTAGAATTCAAAAAAAGCCTGGATTTTAAGAGTGCAACGGACAAGCTGACAAAACCACGTATTTACATGCTGGATGTGACGACTTATTGAAAAGTATGTGTACATAAATACCGAGTTCGCATTGACAAATATGATTATCTAGTGGGTAGGTACAGATGCCAATCCTCTGCTAAATGTGCTTGGACAATCTTCTACCCGTAAGTCACCAGTGACGGTCATCTGCTGGGTCACAAATTATTTGAGATATGATAATGTTATTACAGTTGCCTTAAAACTAGTCCTATATAAAAAACAGAATCAAAGATAAGGGCCTTGGGAATTCATCTACAACTTTTGACTAGTACCTATTTTAAGTTATATATAAATTAAGACTTGGTACGTGGAGGCTACTTAAAAAGTTATATTACATTAGGTAAAATGTCTGCTTCAGTCATGATGGTAGCATCAACAGTTAGGATTTTTGAGGAATGGATGGTTAGAGAGGGTTCAGAAAGAAACTCTTTAAAGGAAAACTTGCCAGTGATCAAATTAAAACTATCATTTTATCAATAATAATTTGATGAAGACAACAGAAAGTGTGAGTATGACGGTTAAACGTTGGCTTCGATATGAATGCAATCAAATTAAAGTAGGAAAATATTCCCGTAATGCTTAGGTTAAACGCTATTCCAAAATCACAACTCAAAGGAAAAATAGCTGTTCCAGAGGTATATTTAACAGAAATGAAGGAGGTAAAGGCTTTTACAGGAGAAGAACGGCTATTTTATCTACAGAAATTCAAGTATGCGTCTTGCGTAATGTTTGTGCTCTCAATCGGTCGTGATTGGTCGACAGATTTCTAGATGAAATGCCATTGTGCAAAGAATAGGCACGTCACTCCATAGTAAGCACGATTTAAATTGGCTGTGGCAATGCAAGGCAAAGGAATCACTAGATCAACATACTGAGATTAGGGACAGAATTTGCAAGCAGGTCGGTTAGTCGGAGTGCTGAGAAGTGACCGCGAATAGAACTTTTTGAAATGAGTTTGGGAAAAGAATGAACTAGTTTGTTTTCATTTCAAACTTTTATGCTAAAATTAACTGTTCCAAGTCAATGCCACTATCAGGTGAATGATAGAATGTACAATGGCGACTGCTTCGCCGATAATACCCATGGTCTCACGATGTTGCTAGAATTAATTTCAACCTAACTGAACACGGGTTTGTGTGGAATTGTCTTGCAGCGTGATACTTCGCTAAAATTTGCCTCCTCAAAGTCCTTTTTGAATGTGGCTTAAAACTGAATTAAGCGCAATTTTAAACGTGTCTTTTATTGGATAAGTCTTGCACACTTTATATACGTTACATCACAAAAACTTGACTTACTTTGAAATCAAATTTAGCAGACGTTTTTATGGGTGGATTGCAGCGATTCAACCACCAAATAGAAGAAAATGACGACTTTGAGAGCGAAATACAATCTGGACTCACCTCTATACTGCTAATTCTTTGAAGAGTGGAGCGTGAGAGTTATTTGCTTTTCTCGAAGTTTTCTTAAGTAAGGCTGTTTTTTACCTAATCTAACTACAGGGGATCCGGATGGTCGATCCCTTGTCGCCGTTTGCAACCTCCTTGTTATAAATACGAAAAATAAAAGTGGAGTGTTGCCGGGTTACCCTGATAGCAACCTTTATCTTCGTTCTTCGATTACCACAAGATTTTGTTTTAACAGTTACTTCCCCAAACTATTACCAGAAACAACATTTTCCTGAAATGGATATTAATCTTGAATTTCCCCCTAAATAAAAGATAAGTCTTAAGAAAACCTCAGCGGGTTCTAATGTTGTCAAATTTTGCCGTCTTCACCCCACTTAACGTGAATACTCTAGCGCGAAATCATTAAGCGAAGAATTATACAGGATATTCTGTTATACGAAAAGCATTGAAAATAACATATTTTTGAAGTCTAGGCATTTCAAAAAATGATTGTTGAGAGATGAAGATGGGTGTTAATTACATAATCTTTGGAATTTAAAAAAAACTTGAGTATTTACAAGCGGAAGCGCACCACATGACTTGAAGTCATTAAGAGGCGCTTTAACGATGCAAAATGCGCTGCAACCGCAAACGCTGGAAGATGGCTTTTCTGGCGCCATTCACCAAAACCTGCTCGTGGACTTTCTCGTAGGTGTGAGTGGAATTCCTTTGAACGTCGAAGCGGACGCCTTTCCTTGTGTCCGCAGAAAGCGCCTGGGTGAAGCACGTGAACGAGTAGGCCGGGCGAACCTCAGGAGGCGCATTCAGGTGATCGTTGGTTTCACCGTCAGCCCTCCTTAATATCGATTTTTGCGACAGACTGGGCAGGCGATTGTCGTTATCCACATCCTGAGATGGCGGTCGGGAGGTTGGAGTTGATTCTAAACTTGACATCGTTAGAGAAACGCGGAAGATCGAGTTGAGGTCTTCGTGTTCCTTAAGTCCACATTCTGTACCTTTGTCATCCAAGTCCAAATTTTGAGTGCCAGAAATGGACGATTTTGGTTTTTCTACTTTCGGATGAAATATCTCATTATCGGCGTGGGTGGAAAGGTCAAAGAAGGCCTTCTCAATTATATCAAAGACTGGTGCAGGCAGATCCCAATCCTCGGATGTAGATTGGGCTTTACGTAAATCGACATTTACCTGTTTGATTTGAGTTTCAGAGGGATTCGGTGGAAGGCTTAAGTGAGTATTTAGGTCCTCTTCAACAGGTGAAGGAGGTGGAGCCACAAACCCGGGCTCACCACTGAGTTTAACACGCCCGAAGCTCGTAGCAGGAACTTCGTTATCTTGAATTCCAGACTTTATCTTCGGGGCTTCAGTAGATTCAATTCCCCTAGACACGTGTTTGTTCAAAGGATCCGATAATTTAGTGCTTGGATAAGCAGAAATGCTTCCAGGTCTGTGGTTCTGCAGACGGAAGTGGGTAACTGGAGATTGGAGTCGGATTTGAGTGCACAATAAACTGGCAGAGAGGAAGTTCGTATCCTGCTGCCTTCTCTTAATCATGAACGAGGAATTTCTTCGAAGCCCCGCTCGGTATGGTTTTATGCTCGGCAGGCCTTTAGTCGCCATCTTGTCAAAGAATTCCTTGAGCCGCTTGAAGTTGGAGGTGCTGTGAAATTTGGTGCTTTTGTAGGCCATGATGAAGGTCGTCGTGTGGCCAATCGGATTGCGCACCAAGGGGGTGTGTGTGATCGCGTCTGATGTTGCCATGACAACCGGAATTTAATTTCCACCACAATGTGGGACGATTTGTGTGGCTCATGTCGTCCGCAGAAACACTACTAATGGAATTCAGTCGCGCACAGGCACTGTATTGGTGTCTTTGTTAAAAGCCTTTGTGGATATACAAGGTCAACTTACTAATTGAAGTAGCAATAAAGAATGCCTTGAAACGATCACAAATGCTCGAATTTAGTCAGTTTCGTGAAGATGGATGCACACACTAGGAACACATTTTTCCAGTCGTGCTTTGTCTTTATTTCTAGGCATCGCATTCTCATGTCTGCGTTAAGGAACAACTAGTGCAATTGTTGGAAAAAATTTACGGTTGTGACCTAAAAAGAGTTTGGTGCTTTGCGGCACAATCCGTGAAATATATTGAAATTTAAAAGACAGTTTTAATCGAGCGGTGAATTGCAAATGCCTATTTTCCGATGCACTCCGTTGCAATTCGCCCTTGTTGCTAAAAACATTACTTTTCAACGCGATTTCTCGTCAACTCCAAAGCAAGATTCGAGCAAGTTTGATCTCCCTTAAAACGCTTATCTTTTATCACCAGGTCGAGATGTCGCGGATCTTAACTTCCAAAGCATTTATATCAGGCTAAAACCACCACATGTTTTGACCAAGCTGCTGGAAATGTCAGTAGAACAAAGTCACACAAGAGCTCCAAGGAAGCGTAAGACACTGAAACCACTGATTTTAAATAACAAACGCCCACCACACCTCAATAGTTTCAAGTGTCTTTCCAACTTACTGGAATTTGGAGTCAATTCGCAATAAGGTGAAAGAGCAATTTTGTAAAAACTAAACAGCAACACTGTCGTCTTTTAAAGTCTGTGGGGGATTTCTCCTTGTGCTCATATAAAGTCACAGGTTGCAAGGATTAAGACAGATGAATTGAATTGCTAATTAGCACCACATCCTAAGAGTTCGTGCGTCTTATCACTCCATCAAATAATGCAGTCTCAAGTACTTTAACCTCTCGTGGCTGAAGGCCACTTGTTTGTCGAGGAAGTCGTTCAGGTAGCATTAATCGTGAATGCTTTACACTTCATACAATTATTTCGCAGGTTAAATTTGATAATTAAACATACGAGGTTGCCAGGTTAGGCCGACTCGAGCTTTGCAATACAGCCTTCTCAAGACGGTCATACTCTGACACACAAATTACTCCAAAAAACACATTGTCAGACGGTGTTTCGTTACGATACTAACCCCTCTGATTTTGTTACTCGATGACGACAGATCTGCATCAAGGCGTAGATCAGGAAATTTCGTTCCTTTATCAAATCTGCATCAGCAAATGGAGAGGTTGACGGCAGTTACTGTGGTAATGGACACTTATTTGTCCACAAAAACAACGGCAATGCCATTTACTTACTGCTTCACAAGGTGAGTGACTTAAGGAAGCAGGTGTAAATATACGATGTGGCATTTTTCGACTTCCGTTTGCAATTAATCAACTCAAACAACTGCTTCCACTGGTAACCGCTTGAAACACATTGTGGACTAGCTTTTGTCAGATTAGACTTGAAGCTGTTCTAGTCCGAGTTTGGATCAATTCTGGTGAAGTGCGTCCAATACACTCAATGTACTGGTTTTCGTCTGAAAAAAATAATGAATTTTTATAAAAGGCTTTGTTCAATATGCGAGGTCTATTTAATTCAAAGAGAATTCCGTTGAAATCAGACCAAATTTCACGTAAAAGAGGAACGATGAGTACCGAATAACGCCATTTAAAGACAGATGAGAGAAATTCTTAAACTAATGTAATATCTAGTTCATGTTATTTGACTATGTTAATACAATTGCAACTCGTTTACTTCCACATTATGGTAATTTTGCATTTGGTTGTCCAGAAAGAAGTATTTTTGGAGTTACAGCGGCAATGAGAACCAATAAGGGTTAGGTGCTAGTGCAGATTTGACAATTACATTATTTACTAATTCAAGAGCATCATACAAAGTTAAGTAGCCTGACATTTGGCGTGACAGGGTGTCCTAGTGTTGCCCAAAATTTATCCAACAGTTACCATTTGCTACTTATTTCTAAAAAGTAGCAAGACTTGTGTAGAATGAGCAGTTAAGCAAAAACATTCCAACTGCCGAACCCCGCAAGGTGCCAATCCAGTAAACCGAGTGCTTGAAAGAACTTTTGGACAGTCCTCTCAAATGCCTTCATCACCATAACGCACCACTGTTGGGATTTCGTCCACTGAGCTGATTTCTGACTTGAACCTCATGGTTAGTGCAGGTTAAATAAACAATTGTTTTAAAATAAGACTAAAATGGAGTAATGTGTTGTATTTTGATCTACCACCAACCAGAAAAACGATCCTTGATGAGTAGTTCCTCAAATCTAGGGTAATTTGCACTGCATCCGGGATTCTTACAGATGTAGCCTGATAGAAACGCACAGCCTGGCTGTAAACGAGCAATAGGGGTTATCGTGAGTCGCTATGGTAATGTTACCTAAGTTGTGTAAAGAAAGAAGGCATAATAAGAGGTGTTGCATAAGCCTCTTTCTAGTTTACTGAGTGCAGTTCGGAAATTTTCGGTTGCTAGACTTTGACTTGAGCAAACCGCCTACCTTCTAAGCGCTTTTATCCTGTGTGCTGCCATCAATTATCACAAAAAATCTACAGCACCACAGTAAACGTCTAACAGGCTGACGTCATATAAGATTGGTCACAGTGAAATGACAAGGTTTACATAAATGCAATTGTCAGACGTTCCAATCGACATGAATTTGGATCAAGCTTGGCTAAAAAACCCAAAGTACTTACTATTTAGGCGGCCTAATTTTTTCAAATTATATTTTGTTCATAACTAAATCTCCACCTACCCAGAATGGACACTTACAATTAAGACATCTCAACAGGCTGCATGGTTTGCGTCCGATTTCTTAATGAAACGCAAATCTGTCTGCGATAATCCTGCTTCTAAGTGATCCAACTTGGTTAAATCTATTGCGTTTCAATCAGTTGATTTGTGCTTGATACTATCAATAAACCTGTGGCCATAAGGTGGCTGAATTATTTAGCTACACGACAAACCATATCCCCACTGCCTTTCGTGCTTAAATAATTTTTTGGTTGTTATCGAACGTTGCGCTGGCCGTTTTGGTGTGCAGAGTCACAAGGCCTCGACTTACAATGGTGCAATTAATCACAGCCACTCCGAGTTGAGTCACGTTGGCTACGTCAACAGAGAAAGACAAGTTTTTCATCCATTGCTTATCTATTTGCGAATTGGTGTGCGGGCTTAGTCACGAAACCAGCATCGTTACAACGTCATGTCATGCAGAATATCAAACCTTCAAAGTTTAACGGTGGTTCGCTCGTGGGAGGACAACTGATGGTACTTTAAATGAGTTTTGATTTTGACTACACAAAGTCCAAAAGGCTTCCTTATACAGTGGGTGACATTGGTGATCAATTTGGCGTCCCCGGTTTTGAGTCAGACAAGAAGTGATTCTGATGAAAATCAGATCATGGGTGTGGGAAAATTTCATGGCAAATTAGTTACCAACGAGACATGAAAGAGTGAATAACTGCTTGAGATTTGATTCGTCCACAATCAGTGTCATCTGGAAGCGGTTACGGAAAATCGCCGATTACCAGCCCATAGAAGTCGAATGTGGCGAGAGGCTTTGGGGCAACCAGGTATTGGGGAATATTCACAAGCCCAGACGTAATGGAGGAATTGTGAGTACTTGTCACAGACAAACATAGGGAGACGCGTACGAACGTGTACGGTGTTGGATATGTCCGCTTAACCGATGGCAATTGATGACAGAAATAGTGAACACAAACACGACTCACTAAATCTTGCCTAGAAATTGTTATTGCGCACTCTGTAGTACAACGCCGATAAAGACAACAGTTTACTGACGCTTCGAAAATCATAAAGGGCTACTTCACTCGATCAAATTCATATTTGATACCGCGTTTATCTTTAATCGAGCTATAACCTTTGCATTAGCATGTATCTAAAAGTCTCGTAGTTACTGGCCACTGTGAACACGTTACTTTATACGTGTTTTAACGTGGAGATCCTGTATGTGGAGCAAAAAGCACTTAATAAGCATTGAATACATTCCAACAGCAAACTAGAATCCATAGTCTTATATCAGAATATGCATTTACTCAACAACTAGGTAAATTTGTCGATTTAAAACGGCGGATGTGCCCCCATGATTCCTCCTCACTTTACACAGTGACTAATTTAAAAGGACTGTAATTGCGGTGAAGTTATTAGTAACATGAATGATTAATAAACAAACAAATGACAAACAAAATTAAGTAAATATGGCAAGATAACAAAGTGACAGCATTAAATAATAAGAAACATGTGAAAACAAGTCAGAACTTAAAGGTCAGGTAATCACAAAGAAGACCCGGAAGATCCAGACATGAGACGTGGGCATGGAGCAACGAGGGAATTTGGCGTTTTATGGCAAGTCGGGAAAGGAACTGGAGTGACGGAACCCAACCTGAAAAAGGGAAAAAAATGTAGAGCAATATTACCTAGAATAACAAGTAGTCAGCGTATTAGTTAATGGAGAAAAACCGTCGCATCAAGAAAACGACACTGTAATGACAATTAAACAAACAAAATCTTCAGGTTAAAGGCTCTATATGTGGCGTTTTGAAAGTTCTGGGGATTGCACAACTGGGCAAAAGATCTGACTGGATACCTTGGTACCAGAATGGTTTAGTGCGGGGAAATTCAATGTAAAAGTTCAACTAGGTTCTTGTAGCTCACCCATATATGCAGAAATTAGTTTGTAGAGCGATGAATCCTTGTCAACAAGATCAATGGGTTTGAATCCTCGAGCGTCTGTTGGCGAAGGAAAGGCGCCATGGAGGAGGAGGAGACGAACAAGTTTCGAATCGCCGAGTTCTGCGGCAATGTGAAGAGGCGTTGTAAGATGGACACGTTTGTTGGGATCAGCACCTTAAATTTACAATAAACATGGTTATCAGGTGACGTTGACTTTCGGACTTAGACAAAAAAATATGTAAAAATCTCACCAGCCATCAGAAGACACTCAACAGCTGGATAAAACTTGTCTTTGACAGAAAAATGTATTGGGCATTGTCCAGTGCGATCGCACGCATTGACATCAGCACCAGCACGTACCAAAGCAACAACTGCGTCATAGTGACCTAAAAAGGTAAGGCTGAACTCTTTTGGTACCGTTTTTAACTGCATAGATTAGAGGGGAGCCCCAATATGACGGTGGGTTAACATTTGCGCCATAACGTAGAAGAGCATAGATTATTTCAACTGAACCATTAGTTGCCGCATCACAAATTGGCGTATTGCCATCAACATTGCAGGCGTTTACGTAAAAACCGGATTCGATGAGGACGTGAACAGCGTCTAAGTTTCCTGCTAGGCATGCGTAATGCAATAAAGTATTATTATCAGAATCATGTTCAACTAAGTCACACTTGGAGATATACTTTAAAATGTCATCTCTGCTCCCCTTCTCAATGATTTTTATAGCGGCTAGCATTTTACATTTCTGTTTGTGCAATTAGAAATGGGCGCTACAAACGAACACACCAACATTGATAAGTTGGGTTGGCCAATTGAAGGCCAAAAGTCCATCGTGATAGTTTATCCCATGCTTAATTGTCAGTAAGGTTATATAATAAAAAAGAGTTTATCTTATAAAGGGAAATATACAAGACATTTTAAAATGCGAAAAACAAGAATGATTTAAATAAGCTTATTCAGTAGGGCAATGTATAAATATTTGCATCTGTAGCTTGGAATTCCGATAAATGTGAGCTAGCCAAGGGAAATTTGAATGTAAATATTTGGCAGAACATGCATCCTTTAAAGCACAATACTGTTGTCTAATTCTTTTAGGTTTAGAGTTAACATCTACCTAAAAATCAGCCATACAAACGTACAAACCTCTTGATGCATTTTTTGTGTATGATAATTATAAAATTCACTTTTCTAAATTGATTCTACTAATAATATTCAATGAAAATAGTGGTCTTTTGTGTCTAATCTGCTTTAAGGCATTGTCGACCTTTCCTAAAAATCACTGATAATCTTTTTGAATGACTGATTAAAGTGCGTGTGCTTCGTGTTAAGCTATATTTTTAGTGAAATCGTAGGAGAGAGCTGATTTTATCTTTAGTCTCGTTTATAAATTTGTTATGTTTGTCTTTAAATTTACACGCCCAAGCTCCTTAATTTCGCATCATGCAGACGTCCATTCTAGCACTTCACCCAATCGCAAACACACTTCTGCTATACATTGTCACATCCAATGTATCAAATTCCTCACGCATGCTGCCTGATTAAAACGATTCTGTTAGTTCTTGGCCACGGAATAAATTAAACAATCGAAGAAGAAACACACGAGGAATTCTAATAATTTCGTGTTGGCGAAACAACTTGCCCAAGCCATATTTTACAGATAAATCAATTTTAACTTGGCAATCACAAAATAGAGCCCCTAACATTACTGGCAGTCTTATGACTTATGATTACATACACGTATATTCTGAGAATAATTCCTGATTTTTCAAATATTTTTGTTTGGAATGATGTAACTCAATCAAATAGCTATAAAAAGTTAGAAATCGGAAAAAACCAGGGGAATATTGTGGACCCTCAAACAAAGTTCTTTCAAAATGTCAGTCCTCTGTTAATCAGGCAGTTCTAAAATGACCACAATTAACAAGTTATTTACAGATGAGAGCACATGAATTTGCTGACCCAGGATGTAAAGGGATTTTACGTTTCACCTGTTCCCTCTCATCCATGTTTTTCAGTTCAGTGTGTTTCGACGAACATTAGAATTGTAAACTTGCCCTCACACAACCTCAGATGCTTTAAATGGAAACGTTTAAAAGGTCATTTTTCTTCTCATGTTGCAACAGATAAACTTACACTTAATTGCAAAGCACTACCGACTACCACATTTCAGCCTACCTACCCCAACTATCTGCATACACCAGTTTTTGATATTCCTTTTCATTTGTCGCATGACGTCGTTGTGTCACGTGTGGCTTACGAATATGTGTATTTATAGCTCAGATATATGAGATAGCGTGAGTCATAAATGTGCTGCCAACGCGACCTAGGTGAACGTTATCATACTTAGCGATAATTCAGGATAATAGTTCGCGCTAATTAGGTGGCGGCATGCTGTAAAAAGGGGACATCGCGTCAACGAATGGAGCGACCGAAGTAACGAGTTTGCATCAACGTGATTCCTGGATGGGGATTCATGACATGGGAGCCCTGGCTCAGCGCGAAGTAGACTATGTTAGTGTATATCATGACTTCACACCAGATTCTTCACAGGGAACAACTTATGTTCCTAGAATACGAAGACGCCCTACTTTTAGCGAAAACGAGAGAATTCGTTGCTGAAACCAATTCGATGATAACTTCAATCTACAGTTCAAAGTAGTCTCCACGAATCTCGCGAGTGGTGTTTCAACGCTGATGACAGGAAACATTACCAACGTGCAGTCAGGTTCGCAAAAGCACTTAACTCTGAAAGATTTTATCGAGCAAACAGTCCAGTTCCTTAACGATTGCCGTAGTAGTACGAAGTTTAGACATTCCTTGAAATACGCCGGTACGAGTTTTGCATAAAACGCGTTGTTCAATGACACCATTTTAAAACCTTCGGTATGTTGCGGACGTTTAGGGCAAGCAAGCACAAGTGCCACGGTGAAGCAAAAGGATCAAAACTGTCGCGTAACACTTCGACAGCTCCAACAGTCGGTAAAAAGACAGGATATTACATAGCAGCTAAGGTTGGCAAACGTTGTAGGACTAAATATTAGGCAGAAGAACTTAGTAGCCACACAGTGACAACCCTCTGTTCTTAAAATCGCTTGTACCTAACACCAAAGCAGTAAATATAAATAACTAAAACAAGAGAGCACGCCAACCGCTTAAAAGCAGGCCAATGAAAATAAGAGGTGGAAGCGTCAAGCTGAAAGACACCAAAAGATATTTTGACAGACATTTATACAATTAGTTGTCCTCAATCACTTCCTGATGGGAATTCCACCGACCTACAAAAGGAGTACAAAAGTAATGTTACGAAAAGCAGCCATCAGTGCTTCTTCTGAAATAAGATTTGAGCTTTTGAAGAAAAAAAGTACACGAAGACGGTTCGGTATCGGTAGCAGGCTATCAATGCTTCAGACTGTCTATGACTTTTCTATTTGCAAATTAACACACACATACATGACCATTTAAACGATCGCATTTAAATTAACAGGTACTTGAAGCAATGGCATCATACCATAAAACCTTCTGAACATCGAAGTTGAGGAGGCAAACGACGTGTAACTTGGGTCAGAAACGTTGTCAACATCACGCAGCACTCCAGAGGAAGAAGCAAATGACTAACTGAAAAGTCTCGCGACCATTCCTCCAGCGTAGCATCACGGGAACTGAAATGAAATTGACGAATTTGCAGCTGCAACGCTATCAGACATGTAATTCTGGCATCTGCGCTTAATACCCAAACATGTCTATCACACACAACTTCGCCTCCAGGGTGTGGCATGATATGTGTGGTGGGGAATTTAGTATTTAAGAAGTAGTACATCAGACGTGAGCTCGATTCCGACCAGTTACAAACGGTTTCCAATAAAAATAATTCAGATTACCGATCCATAGTTTATTTAAGATATAGAGTGATAAACAAATGCGCATAAGTTAGAAAAAGAAGCATATCAAAATAGAATCACCTATTTCCTATAATAAGAAATAAAATTTGTCTTCCGAGGGCAAATATTTGAGCTTGAAATCCAGAAATAAAATTAGTGTGAGCAAATGCATAAATATCTCAATGTAAGCTTTAGCTAATTGCTCCAAATTACGCGGCATAAACGCACTTACTTTTGGGTAATCAACTGTTTATTTGAAACCAGAACTTTGTAGAGAACAGTAGAAATCGGTGTTCTTTCAGCAACAATCTCCGTTGTATCAGGGCGGGTAGAATTATCACCATCACAATTGGAAAATACTTTTGAAGTGTCTACAGTTGTGGTGTACAGACACTTTCGTTGGTCAAAAAGCCAGATCTGGTAAACGTTAGAAAAAGCAAAATTTATAACACAAAAAAGAGATTTTAGGCAATGAAACACGATGGCTGCATATGTATCCTGTGAATAAGGCGATGGAAAATGAAAAAAATATACCAACCGGCCGCAAAATATGTGCGGATTGTGCTACTTAATCTAATTTTTACAAACACGAAGATATTTAGAGTCATGTGGCTGAGAGCAAACTGCCTCCAATTTAAAGTAAAGCTAAATCGTCATGCTAGTGCTAATAAAGTTTGAAAATAAACTAACCAATGCGTAGTCCACTGCTCTGTCAAAGGTACCGGCGGAGAGAATAATCCGGTAACAATTATTCTTCAGCATTTGCGACAAAAGAAATTCGAAAAAATCCACATCGTACTGACTAACAGAGAAATAGGACAGCTTAGATAACATTATAAAAATAGAACTGATTACACGAATTGAAAATGTCATACATTAAAGGAAGTCCAACATGGCGAAGGTAATCGCCATCAATGTCCACTTCTCGAGTCCAAACGGTAACGGTGTTAGTCCAGAGAACGGCTACAGCATCATCGCCAACACCCACTTTAAAGTTTGGTAAGTGGCACATAAACTAATCCTCACCCAGTCGACCAAGCATGATCCGACATCTAGAGCAAAATACGCCTTCAGATCCAGGGACGCTTTGGGTTGATAAAGGAACCCAAGAGTCTGCATTGAAGATCATTTCGATTCCATTACAAAGAGCAGAGGAGGATGGAATGTTGTTAACAGTCCTCGAAAGTGGCGTACCAGTCTGTTCCGGCACCTGTGCTACAGAGTGACAAAAAAAGCTGTTTGGTTCGGATGATGCTAACGAGTCCACTGGTAACAGCTGACCAACCTCTGTCACGTCACTAAAAAAAAGTCAAGAAATGAATAAATTACCTAATATTGACAATGTCAGCTTCACAAAATTTGCACCGTAGAGCTTCACCATTAATAAGACGGCCACATAAATCCGAGTACCGAAGATCGTCTGTGAGCTTGGATGAACATGTGGCAAATACAGAAAAAGACTCAATATCCGTCGAAGCATCAGAGGCAATTTCGCAGGAAATTGGTTTAAAAGTCAGTTGTTCAAAAGTGACTTTAACCTCCGAACGACCATCACAAATGGATAAAATATTTGGCGATATGACATTAGCAGAGAAGCTACAAATCCACAGATTAAGCTTCACAAACCTTTCATCCATATTCCCACATAATGTGAACGTTATCTTCTGAAGGCCATAGAAGTACTGTCCACAAACAGTAAACGTGCCCATCGTAATGAGCAGCCAAAGGAACTCAAAAATGGCGCGGCTTCGCAGATACCAAGTGTGTTATGTATTCTCAAAGACAAAAACAAAGTCATCAAATGAGTAATGAACGACGTTATGTTCCAATTCAGAAAAAGATGAAAATTCACTCAGTGATGCAACTTCTAATAACGCTTGGAGTAGAAGGACTGAAGACGAGAAAAAAAGGGTTAAAACCGGAGATTGTAAAAAATGATTACTTTAAAGTGAATATGTATTTCACTAAGCATTTATCGTCTTAGTAAAACATTTCGAACTTAACAAATTTACTTACATAAAAATGAAATATCACGTGAATATCTGGAACGTCTTGGTGCTCTTTTGGCCCTGGACGGCACGAAGTACCCAAGAAATTAGTGAGACAGGAACATCGATAATTCTAACCGATTTTTAGGGGTCTCAACCAAATTGTACCAAAACTTACTTAAGTTCAAAGTCCTTCGTGAATAACGCAGTTGCTGAGCAACAATGTCTGAGTGAGCTAGTTAATGTACAAATGACTGAATGGTCAATCAGTAAAAAGAGTAACGGCATAGGTACTTGAACAGAGAGTATGAGCAGATGGTTCCATGTATTGATGAGCACGATGCAATAGAAGAAGTGCGTGGGGAAATGCGGTGTCAGATAGGTAAGCGTGAATCAATACGTTCCGCCACAGGGCCTTCAACGTAGCGTCCTTACTAAGTGCCTTCACCTAATAAAGGATATTGTAGTGTGCCCAGACAACGTTGGTATTCCCGAGAATAATATAATAAGTCATGCAGCCAACGCATTTGAGCATTAAGATTGATAGTTAGGGCAAATGTGAGACACCGTAATTGATCGTCACAATAGATTTTGGACTTGAAGACCATGAAGATTATGCACATGATGGTTTTCTGAAGAAAAGTCTTAAAAAATTGAAACAATTTAGGTAGTTACTAAAGAATATCCAGGTTCAATAAAGCCTTGTCTTAAACATGCAAGCATTGTTCTGTTGTTCAAATATTCTCTTATTCCTCTAGGTCGGTTGTGTTATGATTCTTTATCGTTCAACAGAGAGCCAAGCCGATCCCATTGGATACATAGCTGGTTATCTGAAACCACAAATTTGCACGGATCTTTGTATGAATATGATGTTAAGTAAGCATAAACATAGACATGTAAAAACACACCTATTTGACCCGACACTGCTATTTATTTTGTCCTAGTTCATGGGTAATTACTGATTCTAACATGCATACGTTAGGGATTTCCTTTAAAGCCAACAAAGCTAGCTTTAGTATGAACAATGGCAGTTAACTTTATGATAAACTCCAGTTTGTAAAATTGCGTATTCTACAATTTTTCTTCCTGATGACTCAAAAGGATTCAAACGGGCTAGGGTAGTTAATACATGACAAACTGCTCCTTGGTTCTCTGTTAAAATTCGTAGAAGAATGTAATAAAATCATTAGTTCCAGGTTTGGTAAAATATCTAATAACTCAGTGTTTAAGCAAGCAAGATGCCGGGAGAAAGTGCGTTTATTAAACACTAGTATTTGCACAAACTAATTTTCCAGTTTTGCCCTGCTATTTCCTCAAAACAAAGGGTCTTTACACAGACAGATTCGCAATGTTTACTTCCCATAACTTGAGCTCAAGCTTAGTTAATGCTGTCTAAAGGTTAAATTTCCTGTTCAGAACTTTTAATTGTTGCGCAGCTGTGCCATTTATGGACGCAGAGACCCTCCCCATACTCTAATACATACTTCCGACGGTGAACAAAATTCGGAATTAGAAATCGCAGGTGTTCATATTAATAAATGTATCTGCTCTTCACGGATTATGGTATCAAAGAATGATCCGAAGTGTCCTTAATATTAAAAACCAAATTTAGGGGTCGCAGACCCAGACAACTCTGATTTAGAATCTGTGTTAGCCAGAGATACAAGAGGCCACGTAAGCAGCTTTTCTCATTTTTCAAACTATCATCGAAACATGCGCTCAAGCTGGACCTTACGAAAAACCAATAAAGTCAATTAATAGATTCAACGCCAATCAACTCATACAAAACTAAGGTGGTACTCGACAAAAACGCACCAGCAATGGTGATGAAGTCTATCATAGGTCAACTAAAGACAATTCTCAACGTGCAGGACTAAAAAGAATCCTGATTGAGTGCAAAGGCTGCCTATGGATGTTGACGTTTTCCTCCGAAAAAATTAAATGGACATCCTAATATTACTCGATTTCGGAAAATCTAGCACCAACGTCTCTGTGTAACAAAAGTAATACTGCAATGCTTTTCAAGCATTTTTACAAACGCCTGCAGCCACTAGACGAATTTATAAAAGTCACTCAGGAAAAAAAGTTGTCCAAAAAGGAACACCAAATTTTTGTGATACCTTTGTCCTACCAGACTAAATATTACTTCTCACGTATTTCTTTGGCACAAGATCAAAAAGTGGAAGCACAAAAGGAATCGTGAAAAAAAATTCATGCCGTCGACAATTATCCACATAAATTTAAATTTATGTTTCTTAAGGTTAGCGTATCATTTATATGTTAGTCTTGACTTATTTCTTTGTTTAAAGTTATTTAACACTAGCAGTATGTCTCTTTATTAGCTATTTAACTCTTTCTGCTTGCCCCATTTATTGATGTGATACTTGTTGTTTAGGAGAACTTGCTTAAAAGATCTACAGTGTCGGATTGCATTTACAATTTTTTGATTCTAGCAAGTGGTTTTGCTAATGTCAAAATCATTTGCCAGCTGTGAGGACAAAAAACTTCTACCAAATCTCGTAGGTTTACAATTACCTTCACAGTTTACGCAAAAAATGCTTTCCAAATTGCACTCGCAGACTCCCTACTGTGCCACTTGGCTCAAACACTGTTTCCATTTTATGTCCACCATAATCATATCTCTGAATGCCTAGGACATATAAAAAGATGTTGGAATCATTTTTCTACTGCGGGAAATCGCCCTAAGTTGCCTAGGTATTTGTCTTAAACGAACCGTCTCTCATAGACTAATAACAAGGCACAACCTATTTAAATCTGTGGCGAGCAACAAGTGAAAGTATCAGTCGTGAGCGAGGACGATGCCATTGATTTAGGAGAATACACTTAATGCAGCTGTGTTCATGGAGAGATCAATATAAATTAATCCTATATAAACTGACGTCCGATATCCTGTTAAACCATGGTACTACTGCACCAATAAATAAATTAAGCTACGTGTTTTGCTGCTTATTGGTCGGGCCTTGACAATGTAGATCGTCGATCCTGGCGTGGTTCTTTAACCGCAATAGGCCCGCAACACATACATGCAGTTTGACGGTGGACTTTAAGTCATTGCATGTATAGACATTTTTGCAAAAATACTTACTTTTAAAGTTGGATGTAATGGTTTCATGTTTACTACATAAATCCAAATCTGACCTGTATATGCAATACGGAGAGCATATAACTATATAACATATGACAGCTTTTTTAACGTTCAAATAATCTTACAGTTCGCACAAGCAAATTTTTGGCTGTATGAATAATAACCTTGATTGATGTGCATGATGATATTGAGTGAGTTGACCCAGCTGTTCATTTATTGTATGGAGGGCATTTTAAAGAGATAAAGTAAATTATTTATTGAAGGACAATGGGCAACAGCCCAGGATTCCCGGAGGCCCAGTCTCCATATCCTGGTGTCCGACGTTTTTCAGACAAACCCGCATCCAAAAACGATAATTTTGATCAACGCTGGCAGCGGTTTGTGGAATCGCTTGACGTTACTGATGAAAAAATGAAGCTAATTGAACAGTTACCAAACTCGAAGAAACTTGAATTAGTTCAGAATTTTGTAGGGGTAGTTGTTTTGCTATAACGTTGTTGGTAGGAGTTGAATACTGTCAAGTGTTCTCCAGCACACTGTGTGGAAAGCATCAGAACAGCTCGCATTTCGCAGATCACGGTATACCTCCATCGTATACACTATTTGTAGGCATCTAAACGCAAGCAAGACCATGACGACTTCCGCAAAGTATTTTCTTCTGCTGAAATATCTTTGCGTACAAATAAAATTGAGTAAGTTAATGATTTGAATAACCTAATTTTAAAGTTGGGTGCTAGAATTTTTAGAAAACCGTGGTTTGGAAGCTATTGTTAGCTTTATGGGGGAATCGCTCAAATTTCTTTCAAGGTACGAACAATTGTTTGTTGTAAACCCAAACCTTAGGACGGATGCTTTCAGAAGTGCACATATGAATATTGATACAAATCGGCGCAAGGCGTCAATGACGGTTGAGGATTTCGCACCTTCATCACTGGCTCGTAGAGATACTCCTAGCCCGTCAAAGGCCAAAAATATGCGTGGCCCAAGTGACAGGCCTCCCCCTACGCCAAATTTTTCACTCAGCCGCAATAAGTCAGCTTCCCCAACATTAAAAAGTCAAAGCATCCCCTTATCGACGTCACTTACCCTTGAGACTCTAAAGGACTGTCTTCACTTGTGTCTCAAATGCTTTAAAACACTGTTAAACAATCAGGTATGTAAACGAAGAGATCATGAAAATTGTGCTTTCCAAGTTTTGGTTGATTCTAATTTTGTGTCTCGTCTTTTGTTTCCTCCTTGCTGATTTTAAATCCGTGTTTCAGGATGGGTGTGCGAAAGCCTTTGAAAACTCTGAGGTTATAGAAATAATTACATTTTGTGTTCTCCACCCAAACTATGCGTAAGTTTGTAAGCCTTGTTTGCACTGTTTCTAAACGAATCACTTATCTCTAAAATTTCCCTCTAGAACAAAGGCACTGGCGCTTGACCTCCTTTCTGCCATCTGCCTTATCGGCGGCGGACACCCAAGAGTTTTAAAGGCCTTTGGCCACTTTCGTCGTACCATAGGGGAATCCGCGTGCTTCGAAACGATCATGAACGATTTTCGAGTTCATGAAGATTTGCCCTTAGAACAATACAACCTAGAATATTCAGTAAGTTGTCACTCTTTTTATTTGTAATCTGAACACGCATAATTGGCCGTTCTATAAGCCACCTTTTTTGCCTGGGTAACCCTAGCGTGTTTGCCGTTTTGACTGACTGGAAAGTTTTACATCTTAATTGATACCATTATTATTATTACTCTTCTTTCTAGGTTGCCTGCATCCAGTTTATTAACATTGTTGTGCATTCTCCTGAGAATATAAATCTTCGTGTGTACTTGCAGTATTCATTCACTCTGCTCGGACTTGATGATTTTTTGAGGGTAAGTAATACGTGCATATTCATGTACCGCTAATGCCTCTCTCTAGTGCTTCATGCCCAGTTGACTACGTGTAACTCGTAGTAATTATTGATCTTTTATTCTCTGCCTATCTTTTCTGTAATTTGAAATTTTAACGTTTGGGATTTCCCATGTGAGATTAAGTGTAGGTCATTTGTGGACCTCAATTCATTGTTGGAAACTGCTACGTTTTTGCCAAACCACATAGCCACCATAATTTTCGACGGCTTTTTATGCTCTTTGAGTTAACTATTTGAAATTTTGTTCATTGGATTTCGCGCCCCTCGCGAGAAATATGCATGATAAACTGAACGCACGACACAACCGTTTAGGTAATCAGTACACGGACGGTGTGCAACTCCACTGTACACCAGTGTCCTGTTTACACCCGGTAGGCACGTATATATTTTGGTCGCGCTCGAACATGGCCGTTGTTTGAACTGCATCTTTTTAACTTTTTGGTTTTAAACATTGCTACCTTTTGCTTCCTTCTTATTGGTTGAAATCAAATTATGAAAAATCGATAGGTAGTGTTGATGCTGCCGACTCAGTCTTAAAATCGATAGTGATCTTTTCGAATATTAAATGTGGGTCGAATTTTTTTCAAATAAATAAATTAGCCCAAATACTAGGTTGAGCTAAAAAATGAAACGCTAAGTAATCCCGATTGCTTAGTATGTAGATAGCCACCGTCGAAGCAGCCATCATTTAGTTAGAAGGGCGGTAGTTCACGATACTCCAATGACTATTGAGTTGGTTGACTAATTGGGCATTTTTGACAGAACGTGGCTTAACGCCTGCGTTTGTTTTTCCATTGCTCAACGTTAATTCCTCTGCTGTAAATGATCTGCAGTTATTTGGGTCCATTTCAGTCTTTCAAACGCATGTTTTTTCCAACAAGCAATGCATCACAAATTCTATTTACTTTACTAAAATTGCGATTTTGCCATGAATTTACATTGGGTATTGAAGTGATTAAGTGCCATTTGTAGGTCGCAGAAATACAAAAGCCCGATTTCCTTTTTTTCCTAACTCGATCTACCCGCTAGGCTCTTCAAGCTCGCCCCGGGGACAAGTTGAATCGTCATGTAGACGCCTACATGAACAACATGGTCAACTGCTCCCTCCTGCTGGACGACGCGGAAGCCAAGGAGGCGGCTGTTGAGGAGGTTGCTCGATTGGAAGCCGCCTTAGAGGCCTCAGAGAGCACCGCCAAGCAACAGGCTGCTTCATTCAAGGTAAAGTCAACTAGCCGGTTTTACTACGCCTGAGTTTCAGCCACCATAACGTACTTTTTTATGAAGTGGTCGGCCACAACTATTGCACAAGTTTTTGTGTCATCGACATCATCGTGATCGGTCTGAAGAACTGGTTAATCGGAAATGGAGGGAGACCGTTAAACAGGAATTTTGGGGTGTTCCGTGTCAGTTGAAACCCGTTTGAGGTAGATGTGAACTCCCTCAAAACCATCTCTGCCTCGCTTAAGTTTAACCCGTCACAATGAACCAAGGGTTATTGTAGTCCTTTACCGTTGCAGGCGGGTGTGGGTGTGGCAGTTTCTTTAATTAAAGAGGTGAAAGCTTGAAATGCTCTAAGACAGCAAATGCCCAAGTTGACTGCCTTCCTTTTGTTATGGAGGGGGACAGGAGTTAGCTAACCGAAAAAAACACCTCACAGAAAGCACTTATAGGTAGGTTCTAGATTTATGGAAATTTCATATGACATTTGTCTTTACAACGTACGAAGGGACTACTGCACCAGTTGAAAGACAGCTTTCCACTCTCTGGCATTGTAAGTTCTTGTTGCGAGCGATCCTCAATCAAGCGAGTTACTAATTAAAATTTGGTGTGAAATTTCACACGCCTTAGCTCGCTGGAACTCGCGACGTGCAATTAAAGAATGTAAAACCATGAAGGTATTTTGAAAATCATGATTTGAGTGCGCTCAGTGGTCTTACCTAATAGTTGGCACAGCTTACGTTTACCACCTGTTTGCTTTTCCTCAAGGTCTTTCTATCATATTTCGGTAGTTGGTCTATTGAAGCCACTATAATTTCTTTTACTACCAGAATACATCGAATTATGCGGTGCCTGGAGTCGTAAGCCGGCCTCACCGTCGTGTATTTACGTCTATTTAATCGTATTAGATCGCAATTTATCGTTTATTATTTCTTTTTTGGTAGCAAAGAGACCTTGCTCTATCCGAGCTCGTTGAATCTCTTCGTAGCAAAATCCGTGACATTAACGTGGCAGCAGGACTTCAGGAGACGGCGAACCGACGCATCCAAGAGCTGGAACAGTCGCTTGCAGCCGCTCACCATCAAATCCAGCTCCTCCAGAACGCAGCAGAGACCAATAGCAACGCTGTCGTCGCCGCTGCCTCCGAAACCAACAGCCTCGGTCAGGTGAAGCCTGCCCCGAACCCACGCCAGAAGAAACCCACCGTCTGCAACATGACAACTTCAACTACCCTGCCGATGGGCTTCGAGTTTCCTGACGGCGACAGCACCCAGCTGACTGGGTCTCCGTCAGATTCGCGACGCAAGTCAATGTCCCTCGATGTCCTCACCACCACGAATCAGTCGACTGTGAGTAGCAGTGACTCAATCACGCGTTCCTCACTTTCGTCGTCAGTGTCCTCAGGATCGGATGCCAACTATGGCACCTTTTCGAGAAAATCGGGCTCAATCACTGAGAAGCCCCGTCATGGCCTCATTTCGTGCACCCTCATCTCTCAAGGTGAGTTGACGCGCTCTCTTAGTTCGTAGGAGCTTTGTTGTCAAGTCTTTAGAACTCTTTGAGCAAGCCGCCAGGGCATGAATCGAAACAGCACTGGTCAATTTCCTTCACATTTAGGGGGTTTACTACACATGTATGGCTTCAGGCTGGGTGCCCTTGGCGCTGATCCGAATGAACTTATAACTAGCACCCAATGTCAGTCGGATACGAAACGCAATGGCCACAGATACTGCACCGAGCGTGGCTGTGAGTAGATATATCAGGTGTCTGACTTAATTTTTCGCAGATTTTCAGCTAAGTTATTTAAGATAAAAAAAATCGAGAGCAACGGACTTAATCGTGGAAATAGTCTCCATCGTTTTCTATAACCTTGCACCATCTCTCAGGTAACGTACGAATGCTATCACGAAAGAAGCTTGCAGGCTTCGAGGCAATAAAGTAATCAATGAATTTCCGCACATCGTCCAGTGTTTTGAACCGTTTATCCACTAAGGCGTGCTGCTGCATTGACCGGGACAAATGGTAGTTGGATGGGGTCACGTCTGATGAAAATTTCGCCTGTGAGAGAACTTCCCATTCCAAGTACAAGAAGATCGTCTGAGTCGCGCGAGCAACGTGAGGTCGAGCGTTGTCATTTAGCAGTAGCAGCAGCAGTATGACTTTCTTGCTTCCTTGCCCAGCACATGGCCCTTCCTGATCTCTGGTCTCGTCGTTCAGTTTGCCTAGTTGTCGGCTACAGCGTTTCACAGTCTGCGTCTGACCAGCTTTCAGGAGTTCGTGATAATGTGCACGATTTATGTCCCGCCAGATAGACAGGAGAACCTTCTTCAATTGGATGTCCTGTTTCGACGTCGATGTACTGGGTTGCCCGGGATCTACCCACGACGCCTTTTTTACGTTTGGGATTCTCGTAGAAAATATACCTTTCATCACCCATCTCAATTTTTCACAAGAAATCCTTTTTTTGTTGCCAGCGGGCAAGCAATGAAAGGCATGTGTTCAAACATTGACCCAGGTTATGTTCCTTTCAGCACACGTTGGATCCAACTTTCAAGTTGTTGATGCAAACGCTTCTAAATAGCTGTTTGGGTGACCCCTAAATTAGTTGCTTTTTTGGCGTTTTCGTTGAGTCTTCATGCAGCAGAGTCTGCGATTCCACATGTTCTTCAAATTTTCAAGACTGTGGTCTGAGACGTGGTTGGTCACTAAGATCGAAGTCACCACCTCTAAAACCTTTGTGTCATGAATTACATGCATCATAGGGCACAATTTTGGCACCAAGAACACTGTAAATTGATTCCTTCCGTGCTTTAGAAGCATTTTTCATCTGGAATTCGTACAAGATGCAGTGCGATCCACTGTGCTGTTTATCAGTTGCCATCGTAAACCCTGCTATTTTGAGAGGTAATGTAACTCCTGTAGACTTATCCTTCGGCGTTCTGAAACCTTGCGTCCGATCCTTTCACAACCACGAAAGACCGCGAAAATATGTCAATTAGGCCAAGCACCTAAGTTGCACTTTTTTGTATTTATTGAAAACTCAGTACCATTTTGGTAGTAATCTGACTTGCTAATTTTCCCACACCTTTTCTTGCTTCACATTCTTTGTGTACTTCTGCTCTAACAACTTCTGCTGAAGTACTTATTATTTCCCCTTCCTTTTCATCATCAGTATCATCATTGCTATCAGCTATTCTACCCATATTTGCAGTTTCCGATCTATGTTTGGCGCGCAAGACTTTCGCCAACGTCTCCACCAACCTCTCGCTGTTGCTCTCCCGTCTGGCCGCCGCCTCCTACCCCAAGCCTCCCTCTCCCTCCCCCGCCGTCGCCCTGCCCGACTGGCACACCCCAGCTCCCCTCGAAGCCGCCCGTCTCCGAAGGCGGCAACACCGGCTACGCAAGCCCGAGGTCATTGGCAGCACCCAGTGCCACCAGTTGGCTGCCATCCTGCCCGATCCCTGGGCCACGTGTTTCGCATCGGCCCATCGCACCTTCAAGTTGAGCGCTCAGCCGGTAGAAGACGGCGACGAAGCGGAGGTAGACAGCGACGCAGTAAGGTAAGAACGCTGTTTCAGCCTCATATTCGCTTACAACGCCTTCATTACCCGTGACTTTGGTGTTTGCGTTCCATGTATTAGCTCTAGAGTTATTACAGTTATCCATTTAACGGGTACGATCCAATAAACCATAGCTGATTTAATGAGCCATTCGCGGTTTCACCGTATAAAGGCCTGCACTGAGACATGCATGGCTTAATCTTTGAGACAAGCATATGACTACTGGCAGGATCAACCAGGTAGTTCACACACGCAGAGTGCGCCGAGCAGCGCTAAAGGAGGAAGGGCCGCCTTCTCGGCCTCCTCCTCCACCGCTACACGACGACAACCCCACAACGCCGGCCCCCAACTGCTACACAGCAACGCTGCATTGCCCTCAACACAACCACCACCACTACCACGCACATGCAGCATTATCATTGTCGCCGTGTAAGCACCTAGGACCAGGCGGCTCCTGGCCCGCA